ACTTTGGGAGGCGGGCCAATCACCTGAGGTCAGGAGTTCAAGGCTAGCCTGGCCAACCCATCTCTGCTAAAAATTAAATAATTAGCTGCGCGTGGTGGCTCATGCCTATAATCCCAGCTACTCCGGAGGCTGAGGCAGGAGAATTGCTTGAACCCAAGACACAGAGGTTGCAGTGAGCCGAGATCCTGGCATTGCACTCCAGCCTGGGCAACAAGAGCAAAACTTCATTAAAAAAAAAAACATATATATATATATATATATATAATGTCCCTTATTTGAAAGAAAGAAATATAATGATAGTGAAGGAAAAAAAAACATATAATTATCTAATGTCAGAAGAGATACCTGTGGATCTGAAGCTTGAAGCTTTGTGCAAGCTATTTGGGTAAGAATTTTAAAAAAGTAAAATAGAACTGATATTGTTAGAGGAGACTACAGTGGGCCATTCGATTAACACTTTCCTTTGTCTTCTGATACACTTCCTTCCTTCTGGCTGATGCTACATCTTTCCTGACATATTCTCTCCCTCTCTCATTTCTTAGTATTGGTGTTACACCAGACTGTTACGCTTTGCTCTCATCCCCATGTAAGAATTTCCTCTCTGATTGTGTTTATTTCCACGTCTCTTATTTTCAGCGTCTATAAACAGATGTTTCCTAAAGCTGTAACTTCCACACTGATAGCTCTTCAAAGCTCACAAGTCAGAGTCACTACAAACAGCATGCTCAAACTGGACCTAGGTATCATTCCCATGAAATGTGATCCTTTTCTTAAACTCTCATCTTAGTTAATAGCATTGCTGTCAGCTACAAAGGCTTTCCCCTTGATTTTTCCGTCTTCTTCATAATTTTTTTTTCAATTCCAGTTCTAAATATCTTTACCAACTAATTATTTTCTCCAGTACAGTGACTTAGTTTTTGTCTTTATTATCCCCGAAGGTCTCCTTGTGACAGTCTTCTCACTGGTCTCTTCATTTTCAATCGCCATGTGCCATCACAACCTCCTGCCTTTCCAATCTATGTCCCTACCACCACCACCAGTCCTAGCCTTGAGACAATGTAGTTTATAAAAAGGCTTAGGTAAGGTTAGGATGATTGCATCTGTGAGTTATCATACAAGGTATTCACACAATGGGTAAGAATTTGGCTTGATGATCTCTAAGACTGAACTGAAAACCAAGCACCAAAGACTAATATAGCATCACTGAAGTTGCTCAATCAAAATAAGATTTCTTTGTCCCACCACAATGTACTGACACAAAATCTTCTGAGTTTACACTCGTGAAGTTATAGTTTTGTAGGCTTCCCAAGTGATTGCGATACTCATCCATTTTTTGGAAACTCTAAGATCTTATTCAGTTATAAGATTCAGTGATTATAACTATTTAATCAGAGTCTAATTTGCTATTCTTAGACAATAGTTACGACAGTATTTTTTACAATGACAGCATCACACTAAACGTAAGGCTTTCTAAGTGGTTTACATTAAATTAAAAATCATTCATTTGAATGTATGCATTCTGATAAATTTGTGAAAATAATTACATCACGTTACAGGCAAGCCTCGTGTACATGTTTTAACACATATATCTAATGAGTTTTCTTTGTTTACACACAGATGTTAATAAGCTGAATATGAAGAGCTCAAAAATATATCTGATAAAAATAGCAGTAATTGTTATTCTATGCAAAGTATTTTGAAATTAAACTTAATTACATTAAGATGAAAACAAGGTTTAGCAGGACTGTAGGAAAAAATTGGGTAAAACTAAAGTCCTTAAAGTAATTATTGTTTTTCAGTTCTTTTATAGCTAATGAAATGATTCCTGCCCCACATACATACATAACATTTCCTATATAAGTAAATTCCTACAGGCATTAGTAGCTTATGACCTAGCAGTAGAAACAGAACTCTATATATTTAATAAATTTTATTGTCAAATCATTAATATAAATGAACTGTTATGGAATAATAAAGATAGGAATGGGATATGCCCAGTGGCTCACAGCTGTAATTCCAGCACTTTGGGAAGCAGAGGTAGGTGGATCACTTGAGGCCAGGAGTTCTACTAGCCTGGCCAATATGGTGAAACCCTGTGTCTACTAAAAATTAAAAAAAAATTATCCAGGTGTGTCTGTAATCCCAGCTACTCAGAAAGCTGAAGCACAAGAATTGCTTGAACTCAGGAGGCAGAGGTTGCAGTGAGCCGAGATCGCACTACTGAACTCTAGCCTGGGCAACAAAGCGAGACTATGTCTCAACAAAACAAAACAAAACAAATATATGTATATGAATGATTAATACTTTATTTTGTAAAACAGTCTCTCCAAGGAGCAATTGTGTATATATAAGCCTAAACTCTATGGCATACTAAAGTATCAGAAATTGAAATCCAGCCTCTATGGGAAGCACATGGGAACATAGGTGACTAGAAATATGGATACGGGTATATTAATGAGCAATGAGATATGTATTTTTTATACTTAATGAGGTTATATAACATAAGTATTTTCTATTTAGTTGTATTTAGTCTGAACTATCCACAATCTCTAAAATTAAAAGTATTTTGTTTCAATATTAAATGTACAATTATTTAGAGTAAGAATGTATTTTCCCATAGAAACAATTTTGCAAGGCGTGCTGAGAATCCCAGGCTAGCTCATAACTCCTATTGAACCTATTATGACTTTAATTATACTACTAATAATACTATAAAAAATCTGAGATCTTAAAGCAAAACAGCAGCAGGGCAGAAATAAGAGGAAGAAGAATTCCATTCCCTTCCCCTTTCCCTTCCCCTTCTATCCTCTTCTCTTCCCTTCTTTTTTTCCCTTTCCCTTTCATTTCCCTTTCCTTCTTCCAGTTCCTTCCCTCTTCCCTTCCCTTTTACAGCAAAGCTACCATCTGACATATTTTGGAAGAACTACATGCTTCCTTGCTGTCATTACTTGTTGCCTCCCCTACCTCCCAGTAACCATTGATATTCAAAGCCAGTGACTGCAACACTCTTGATCATGGGATATGATAAGTTAATAGGAAAACTTTACCCCTTCTCAATAAGGATTTGATTTGCCTGCACATATCAAGAAAATAAATACGTAAAGGAAGCTTAAACAAAGAAGAGTTGATATGCATACTTCACAGGTAGTGGGGAGTGGAGCCCCCTCTATTTTTCTCTTCCAAACCCAAAACACATTTTCTGTCCTTCAAGTTGCCTTAAGCCCAAAACAACTGCTGGAGTTCCAGCCATCATGTTTATATTAAGGGCAGCAGCAGAAGAAAGTAAAGAAGGGAAAAAGTTTACTTCTACCATGAGTTTATTTTCCTTTTACGAATCCTCTGTTCGCATGTTATTGGGCAAAACCTACTCATATGCCACATTTCACGGCAATTGTTGATGAAAAATGCAGTGTTTTAACTGATGCCTTTACCATCTCAAATGAAATTAGATATCTGTTGCTGAGAATAGAGGGCAAAATAGATACTGACATGCAATTAGTCATTTCCGCCATATTCCTCACATTTCCAATACTCCAGATTACTTGCCTCCTTCCCTACTTACTCAGTGAAGCTGCCTCAATTCTGTTTTCTTTAAAAGTTTAACTGACAGGATTGTTCCTTCTAGAACAATGGTTCTCAGCTTTGCTTGCACATTAGAAGCACTTGCAATATTGTCAAAAAAATTCTGATGCCCAGGTCACACTCAGACCAATTAAGTCAGAAGCTCAACCAATGGGACACCCAGGTCTCAGGATTTCAGATATATATGCACACACACACACACACACACACACACACAC